CTTGGACGAGATTGTGGAACTCTCGTTTAGTGAAAATGGCGCGTTGGAGATGATTGTCGAGGAAGAGGGAGGTGATAGCGGTTCACACATGCTCGGTTGTGTTAGCAATCGATCTGAGTCCACTTAACGTCACCAAGCATCATGGCGCCATCAACGGAGCCGTTGACATGGTTGGTGAGGCCAAGCTTGCGTTAGGTGAGGTTGAAGGTCTAACAGATGGAGAAATTCAACTCGACGAAATCAAGGGTGGTGGTGACATGGTTGCGGATACCATGTGGACTGGTAAGATTTGGAGAATATGCAGCGCATCGTATTCATGTATGTTGGGGACATATATACACAGTACAAATCGACCTAGACTTGTCTTCCAAGATCATATCTCGTAATTAAAAGAAGAGATAGACCAGTAGAGTTAGCTAGGAAGGAAACAATCCTACCTGATCGCATGTGATATGCTAATATTCTTACACTAGCAGTGGAAAGCAAACTACACAACCTATAATTGCTTCAGATAAGTGTCTCAGAGCATCTATATCTATTATACCAATATAATAATAAGACCCAAAGGGACAGACCCAATTGATCTCGGCCATACATCTGTGTTAATCCAACAATCCATATCGTCCGAATGGTGAGGTGTCTCGGCCATACATCTGTGTTAATCCAACAATTCATATCGTCCCAATGGTGAGCACCTCATCATTGTTAACGTCCTAATTACCCACCACTGCCATTGGTTCTAGTTTCACATCTCCACAGTCAAATGATGTCAGCCTAACAAGCAAGATACCTAAAGACCTCCCATAATTTTCTCAATTCCTTTCACGCTCCTTTCTCCCCTCACACCACAAATGCCGACACATCGCTTGCGGATCACCGTCCGGGGCGAGCCCATATGTCGCCTCGAGTTCAAAGTTCGCCACGCTCCCCACATTAAAGCGCACCGAGCACTATCACCGGCCCCGTGACATTCATGTGCACCATTGAACGTGCTCTTAGACAGACTAGAGCACGTCGCCCTCAACCTCACTGCCACCACTGCCTCCTCCCCCTACTGGTGGCACCACCCCGTTGTGCCCTTTCACATCCTCCGCCACACCCATCCAGATCCATTTGTTGAGAAGGGTTAGAGAGTCACTCCCGGTGAGCTCGCTAGCACCAGAACATCACCGTCGTTCTCCTCGTTCTCTAGGCCAGACCTCACGACCACTCCTATGCCCCGATGCGCTGGCTGAGCAATCCCTTCGACAAGCAGATCGAGGTGGTCCCGCAGCGCCAAACGCATTTTGCCAGTTGCCTGATTTGTTCCGAAATTGAAATAGATTAAAGAATCGGGCATTCAAAAGACAAGATAGATGATTATCGTTTTATATTTTTCCTCATTATTTGCATATTGATTTGTTGTGTTCGTGATTGGCACGCATAATCAGGTTTGCCCAACGCCTTCCACTGCTTCATTTTTCCTGCTTTCGTAGTTTGTAAAACCGTAGTTTCGAATTGATGAAATCGAAGGAGCTCTCTTCTATTTATTTAGGGAAAAAATCATGTTTGCCCAAGCCTCTTGGTAAACCCAACTTCTGCAGGCGAAAATTGCTTGTCATTGATGTAATCTAGCAACTGATATGTCCATAGGGTTCTCTCAGCCTGTGAACCATGTAGGACATTTGCAGCCGATCGCGAGTGAGCCCTCGTGGCGGGGCTACTGGATTTGAAGAAGCTGCAACCCTTGTTCGGTGACACTGACAAAGGTAGCATCAGTACCAGGGTTGCTTTCCAGAAGGATACCTACGATTCCTATGTGGTAAACACACGTCATCATTCTATCTTCAATTCTTCATGCCGACGTTAGTTGTGGAACAATACCTTTTTTGAAAGAAAAAAGATTGTTTAGCGTTCATTGAGCTTTGTTTTAGTCTTTGGTGCATCTGTGAATTTAAACATGGTTAGATGTGTAACTGTTTGTGTTATGTTTTTTCTCCCTTGAAGATGTCTATGGGGGAATAAAGAGTAGAGCATTTGGTGAGTATAGCATTAATGAGCATGGCTTTCGTAAGCGAAGTACTGGGCCAAACGAGTCACATACCAATGAGAAGGCATACCGATGTGCCTCTGAAGACATGCATATATTTGGTCCAATTGGAGATGGGAGCAAGTAGTACTATGCGATAGCTATTTCTATACCACTTCACCGAATTTTTAGCTTGGTTAAGATAAAACATTTTCGACAAGGTGCACTTTTAATTGTCAGAAATGCAGCTTACAACCACATTGGTGCGTACTTCTGTTTTTTTAGATGAACATCCCAATAAGGGTGTTTTCATTTTTAATCCCCTAATAATTGTTCGTTCTACTTCACTGAACTTACAAAAGAAGATAGTGAGAAATTGAATTCCTATTGTTTGTACCTACACTCAAATGAAACTTGTGGAAAAAAAATCTGCCCAGCGGACGAATTTGGTCTACATTGCACAATAGTTTCCAGCAAAGAATATGTGTTTTTCCTTTTTCCATGATTGGGGATATGTGGTGTTCTTTTCTACTTTTCGAATGGGAAGTTGGGAACATGTGGACAGATCATTGATGTGCTCCGAGATTCGCTCTACACAGTTCTGAGTTGCAGTGAGCAAATTATCTACAAGAACACAACTTTATCTAAAAAGGACTATATATATATATATATTCACTTTCTGGACCTTCCATTTTTGGGATCATTGTCTTCTTGATTTTTGGGAAACAGAATCTACATTCTTTACCTTTCAAGGTGTATGTGCACATGAAGCCGTACATGTCACAATGATTGTGAGACGGAGCACCAACAGTTTTTTGTTCAGTCCGTGGGCATGTACTGAGATGTCTTGTGAACACAGAAGAGATTTGATAGTGGTATCTCATAGCACTTACAGAGATGTATAAGCAGAGCACACAGCAGTTTTAATTATTGGTATACATGTGCTTGTATGCTTAATGTTGTTTTTGTTGTCGTTATCTCATTTCTCATTTTTATATGAACTCACTCTGATCTTCAATACCAAATAAATACAATAAAATATATTAGATTATGGATCTAATGATATTGATTTGATACTGTGAATGTGATATTTCTTATCCTATATTGTCTCCTTCGATGCCCTTATAAATTGATCACTAAGGTGATGGATAACAGAGTAGCTATTTTTGCTGACAAGCTTATCAGCAAACACCAGAATGCTTTCATTAAGCACAGGAATATCATGGATGGGATCCTCACTCTCCATGAGGTGCTACACCACACTCATCAAAAGAAAAAGATTGGCATGGTACTTAAGCTAGATTTTGAAAAAGCCTATGACAAGATAAACTGGGATTTCCTCCTCGATGCCATAGTAATCGAGGGTTTGGGACTACTTGGTGTGGCTGGGTGAAAAAAATCCTCAGTAATGGTACAGTCAGCATTAAGCTAAATAATGAGATGGGACCTTACTTTCAGAGCTACAAAGGCGTTCACCAAGGTGACTCCCATTCCCCATTTTTATTTAACCTCGCTGTGGAAGCTCTGTCTAAGATGATTCGCAATGCTCAAAAGGAAAAAATGATTACTGGACTAGCTCCAGACCTCATTGAGAATGGCATAGCCATCCTCCAATATGCTGACGACACAGTCATCTGTTTTGAACATGAGGAGGAGGCTGCTGTTAACTTGAAGCTCCTCTTATATATTTTTGAACTCATGTCTGGTCTAAAGATAAACTTCCTTAAGAGTGAAATCCTGTGTGTGGGAGGAGATGATAATGTACTAGCTTCCTATGCTGATCTTTTCAACTGTCAAATTGGGCACTTCCCGATGAAATACTTGGGAGTGTCGGTAAGCTACTCCACCTTGCGTAGCCTGGACTGGAGTTTTGTAGATGACAAATTCCTCAAATGTTGTGAAACAGGATTGGGAACGCTGCATCCTCGGGAGGAAGACTTGTACTCCTAAATTCCTCCCTTTCTAGCATTGTTTATTACTACATGGCTATGTTTTTGCTTCCTAAGATGGTGATCTACAAACTTGATAGACATCGCACAAAGTTTTTCTGGCAAGAAACCAACGGCAGGAAACGTTATCATCTTGTGAAATGGACCAGAATCTGTAGATCGAAGGACAAAGGGGGTTTGGGGGTGAAAGATCTCCGTAAGCATAATATTAGCTTACTTACTAAATGGTGGTGGAAACTCGAGACACAACAAGGGTTGTGGCAGGATGTAATTTGAGCCAGGTACTTGAAAAAGATACTATAACTTTGGTGAGAAGTAGATTTGGAGATTCGCCGATCTGAAAAGCCATTATGAAAGTTAAGGAATACTATCTAGCTGGAAGAGGGGTGATCCTGAAATCTGGCAACTTGGCCAGAGTGTGGATTGATCCCATTGATAATAACTCTCCCTTACGGGATAGATTCCCCGAGCTTTACAGCGTATGTAATGAGCAGGAGATTACAGTTGCCAAGTTCAAAAACAATGTTAGCATAGATTTCTTCAGGAGACGCCTACACCCTCCGCTGATGGATCAGTGGGGGGAAGTCAAGCGGGCGGCTGAATCCTGGGTACTCTCTAACGAGCCGGATCAAGTGAGCTGGAACCTTGGGAAGAGTAAGCGCTTAACAACTAAATCTGTGTATGCATACTTGGAAAAGCATCTAGCTGGTTGTGACTATAGATGGATATGGAAAGCTAAACTACCTCTTAAGATTCAGATATTCTTATGGCAATTATTCCAGGATGCTGTGCTGACACGCGATGTTATGAAAAGACGAAACTGGGCTGGAAACCCGAAATGTTCCTTCTGCACAGATAGAGAAACCTCGCAACACCTTTTCTTCACCTGCCCAGTTGCCAGGGTAGTCTGGAGAACTGTTGGGTGTGTCCTGGGCACGGATTTATGTCCTGACAATTTGTGGCAATATTTCTCCTGGTGCTATGTCTTCTTACCGGATGGATCTAAGTTATATACCTTTGGCCTTGCTGCAATATGCTGGGCTATGTGGAGTCGTAATCGGGCCACATTCGAACATAAGAAGCTAAAAACTCCTTTTGATGTGGTTTTTTCTGCATGTGGATATCTGAATTATTGGGCAGGTCTGATGGATGGAGTTGATCGCGAGGCAATGGAGCGCGGCGCCAAGATGCTGAAGACCAATGCGGCTACCATGATGAGGATCTGTGCGGCCGCAGCTGAACCAGCGATGGACTGATGAGTTGCTGCTGTACTATCTTCATCAGTAGCATCCTACCTCCCCAACTGTTATGTTAGACTTTGATCTTTACCCCTGCGTGGGCTTTTGCTGTCTGCTCATCATGTGAGCTTTCCCCGTTTTGGAGACTTTATGCTGGTACCTTGGTTCGTGCTGGTTAGGATAGTTGGTTTTAGATGGCACTGGGTTTTCGTCCCATAGTGAGCTGCTTGATGACGAGTGCTCACGGTGGGCTTCCCAGTGGTATCTTGAACTCGCTTTCCCCTTTCCAGCTTCCTTTAAAAATCAGACGTTGTATTTCCGTTATGTTAAGTAATGGAAAGGGGTTATGCCCGGTTCAAAAAAAAAACTTGGTCATATTTCACAAAATATAACTTAAGACAAAACTATTATGTGAAGTATTTTGAGAGAGAGAGAGAGTATATGTAGCTCATTCACCATGTAATAACTAAGACATGACAAATGCACACGATGAGCACTTCTTTCTTGGCCACTCTAGTCCGACTACATACTCTATAACTTAACAGACTTCATGACCAAGACTTTTTTTTCGAGAAAACGCAAGAGAGCTTGCATTTCATTGCTTTGGAAAGAGAGTTTCAGTTACAATCCTCCTAGGAGGCAGTTACAGTGCCCAATAGCACATCAGTGAACGTCCCAAGTTTGTGGTACGATGGCGCGAAGCCCTAGAGCGCCGGCTCTGGCCCAGAGGGCGGCCTCATCCTTGATCTTCGTGAGCAGGTCATTCGCTGAGGGCCGTCCTCGGTTGAAGACACAATCGTTGCGGTGCTTCCAAATCATCCCTGGGACGAGGAGGGCCGTGGAGGCAAGGCCCTTGCGCATGGGTTTGGGAGTGTGCTGCCACGCCATGTGCCACCAGTCATTGAGAGAAGTCTCGCTGTCGGGCGGGGCGCAGGAGAGTCGGAGCCAGTGCAGCACCTCGTACCAGATCTACCGGGCGAAGGGGCAAGCGAGGATGAGGTGGTGCACGGTCTCGGGGTCCTGCTCGAAGAGGGGGCATCGCACGGGGTGTTGTAGGCCGCGGCAGGCGAGGCGGTCGGCCGTCCAACACCGGTCCAGGTGGGCGAGCCAATGGAAGAATCGGACGCGCGGGGGCGCCCAGTTCTTCCAGGTGAGCTTCCATGTGTCGCAGTCCGTGGAGCCATTGAAGGTGGCGATGTAGGCCGATTTGGCGGAGTAGACGCCGCGGGGGTTCCACTTCCAGGAGAGGCGGTCTGGCTCAGCAGAAAGGGTCGTGCGGCTGATTGTGTGCCAGAGCTATAAGTATTGCCCGATCTCATGGATGCCAATCGTGCCATGTATGTCCCGTGCCCATCGGTTGGCCTATAATCCATGGGCGACGGTCCTAAGCTTGCGGCGGCGCTTGGGAATGCATGCATATAGGAGCGGAGCGATCTCGCCAACGAAGCGCCCGTCGATCCATCGGTCTTCCCAGAAGAAGGCCTCCATGCCATTTCCGATTTGCATGGTGGTGGATGCGAAGAAGAATGCGCACTCCTCGGCGGTGAACTGCAGGTCGAGGCCGGCCCACGCTCTGGTGTTGTCCGTGCAGCTGAACCACAACCATCGGGTGTGGAGCGCGAGGCTGGTCCGAGCGAGATCGCGCACGCCGAGGCCGCCAAGCGAGAGCGGGCTAGCAACGCATTGCCAATTAACATGGCAATGCCCGCCATTTGCTTCCGCGCGCCCGGCCCACAAGAAGCCTCACTGAATCTTCTCGAGTGCCTTGATGGTCTTGTTGGGGGCACTAGAGCGAGGAGCTGGTGGATCGGGACCTTGCTTAGGATGGCCTTGACAAACGCGAGGCGGCCGGCCTTGTTCATGAGATGCGCCTTCCAGGTGGGTAGCATGCCGGCCGTTTTGTCGACGACGAGCTGCAATTGTGCGACCGTGGGGCGGTGTGGCGTCAGGGGGATGCCCAAATAGGTGATCAGGAACTCGGCTAGGGGGCAGCCCAGCAGGTTGACAGCGGGCGTGGCATCATCGGCAGAGCACCGGATCAGGGTGGTGGAGCTTTTTGAGAAGTTAACCTAGAGGCCTGATGCGCGGCCGAAGAGCAGTAGGATGCTCTTGACAGCTGTGATGTTGCCAATGGTGGGGTAGCAGTAGAGGATCACGTCATTGGCATAGAGGAGACAGAGGGGACCAGGGCCGGGGGTGCAGCCACTGCACGACGCCCAATCCCGTCGCGCGGCGGAGGAGGCGGCCCAGCGTGTCAACGGCGAGGACGAAGAGTTGTGGCGACACGGGGTCGCCCTGGCGGAGGCCACACCTGTGCCAAATGGTGGGGCCGGGGTCTTTGTTGATGAGCACCTTCGTACTAGCCGAGGGGAGCAGGATGGCCAGCTAGTCCAAGAAGCGGGAGCCGAAGTCGTACTGGCGGAGGACATCGAAGAGGAACGGCCAGCTAATGGTGTCAAAAGCGCGAGCCAAGTCCAACTTCCGGAGGACGCGAGGGGCGCCGAGCTGGTGCAGAAGGCACATGACTAGTGCACGAGGACGAAATTGTCGTGCGGGCTGCGGCTGGGGATGAATGTGTTCTGGCACGTGCTGACGAGGCTATAGAGCTTTGGCGCGAGGCGGAGCGACAGGACCTTGGCAAAGATTTTGGCGACGAGGTGAATTAGGCTTATGGGCCTAAAGTCGGCTAGGCCACTAGCGTCTGCGCGTCGGGAGCAAGGTGAGGAGCGCCTGGTTGAGGGAGCAAAAGCCCCGACCACGCATCTCGTAAAGCCGCTGGAAGACGTCGACGAAATCCTGTCGGACGATGGACCAACACGCGCACAAGAATTTGGCGGTGAAGTCGTCCGGGCCGGGAGCTTTCCATGAGGGGAGGTGTTTCACCGCCTGTCAAATTTCCTCGGCGTCGAAAGGGGCGTCGAGGTCGTCGAGGTTTGTGGGCGTGATTAGCGTGAAGAGGTCGAGACCGCACTCGCGAGGCGTCTCGCAGCCGAGCAGGACGTCGAACTGTGTGTATGCCGAGGTCGCCATGTCGCAGGGGACAGAGATCGAGGCGCCGTCCACAGTGAGGATGTGGATCCGATTCTTCTGTCACCAGCACGTGCATTGCCGGTGGAAGAAAGATGTGTTGGCATCACTGTCCTTGAGGGACGCAAGACGAGCGCGCTGTCGGGCTATGGTGTGCTCAAGGGAGGCGAGGCCAAGATATGAAGCCTTGATCTGCCGCCGGAGCCAGTCATCATGCGGGGACAGGAGCCAGCACTCCTGCGCCGTGTCCAGCCTGGGGAGCTCCCTGGAGATCGCGAGCTTGAGGCGGACATTGTCGATTGTCCTCAAGCTCTAGCTAGTAAGCTTGCGTGCGGTAAATTGCATGCGTCACATGAGCCGCCGGAAGGGTCGTCGTCGTGGACAGAATGCCAGGCGGCCGCCACGATATCGTGTAACCCGTCCAACCGCGTCCAGAACTCCTCGAAATGGAACCGTCGATGGCCCAGCGGCACCGGTTTGCAATCAAGCGGCAAGGGGTTGTGATCGGAAACGACGGAGGCGAGGCATCGAAGGTGACATTCCCCGTGCAGGTCCTCCCAGTCAGGAGTGCAGAGGACGTGGTCTAGGTGCACGAGGGCTGGGGGGGATTGCTCGTTGGACTCCTCGAAATGGAACCGTCGATGACCAAGACTCTTCAACTAAATCAACTCTATAACCTAAAGTTTCATTAGTATATTTCCTGATAATTAGGGCATTGCACGTGCAAATGTTACTAGTATATTGTAAGATAGATAGGAACCAATTCCATCCGAAAATCATATGGAAAACGCAACACTAGAAGGGACAGTACCTTCACAGACCTCCAATGGTCTAGGCATGAACGGTGAACAAACTGCTGAGTTCCCTTGCACATGCAAGGTGATATTAGCTCATCACCTGCATAAAAAAGGAGTCACATTAAAATATGGAAGCTTAGAAATTGTTGACCTGAAATGGACAAACTGTAGCACCCAACCAGTACGTGTTTTCCATATAATAACTACAACCCTAACTATAAAAAGCAGTATTGGCCTGTTGGCCTAATCTACAGCCTGAAGACTAAACAGTTGAAACAAATTACACTATTAGGTCTACTAAAACATAATCATGCAAAAATTATACTTATTCCTGCTAGAACTTGAACCAGTTCGTTTAGTGTTAGCTTTAGGCTTCAGACATCGCAATGTGATCATGGACCTTCTCTTGTCCTATTGATGATGCAAACCTTCAACTAAAGCAAGTGCTGCAAAACAAAACAAAAACAAAAAAACTGCTAGCACTACGGGTTCGATTCCCGCCGCTCGCCCGCTTAATCTATCAAGTACTATGATAAAAAAAAGTTTAGTCTAGTTAACTACTTATATTAAATTAAGTATTAATTAGGTGTACAATTCAATGCTACCCTAATCTACTGGCACACATCCTATGACCTAAGCTTTGCCTATTGGGTTCCATTACAGAGCAAAGATCACAAAGAGATTTTGGATTAGTTGAAAGATGCCAAACAACTGAGTACATGTAACCACACACTTTCTTCTACTTGCTGCAGTCAGACAAGAAGCAAAGTAGCCATAGACAAAATCATTACCAAATTGAACTAAAGCAATCAAATTGACACAACAAAAACTGTATCCCCTATACATAGGATGATCATCAACACAACAAAATAGCATCTCCAATGCATAAGATTGTCACCTATCTCCGACTCGGCCTCAAGGCAAATGCGGCAGCATGCGGCATAAGAACCATCGGTCTCCTCATCCTCAATCTCCAACACGGTCACGGTTGCCGGCTGTGGTGGCGAGAGCTGGAGCAATGAGCCTGACTGATCTTTCCTATCGAGGAGAGGGTCTGAATCACTCATGATCGTCTCTTCCTCGCTCCTGTCCATCCGCCGCAAATGTCCTCTAGTCCAGATTTTAGCCCGTACAATAATGTCCGTCGATAGTTTCAATAGCTAGGTAGCGTTTGCATACAACCTCACAAAACAG